CTTCTTATTACACCCCTTCCACTCAGGCAGTATAAAAAACTCTTTTGACAGTACTCACGACTAGGGACCTACCTAAGTCATGGAGGCTGCCTCCGTATATCATGGTCCCAGTGCAGTGTTTGGCACCATGTTTGTAGCAGAATGCAGCAGTGTCGTCCCCCCCACCCCCCCCAGCCAAGGGGTGCTAGAAGTCCTGCCCCTCCCTGGAGATTGACAGATGGCTACCTGTCAGTCTCCAGGTTTGGAGGTGGGGGCAGGGACCTCAGCCAATCAGAGGCATGGGGGAGCTGCAGCTGTCAGCTGCAAAAATCTCCTTGTACTGCCCCTCTCCACCTCCCCCCTGCCTGTACTTCAGGATGTCAGGGCTTCCTGCCTCTGTTTGCAGCTCTCTTTTCACATCCCTCTTCCCCGTTTTCCTGCTTTTTTGCAGTCCCTGTGGTTTTTTATGGGAACCAGGCTTTTTCATGGGGGACTTGCCAAATTTGCAGTTTCCATAAAAATTGTGTAATTGTGGATTTGGTAGGTCCCTACTCATGACAACTAGAAGGTAGAACTAAGTAATATGTCATCTGGTATACCATATCAATCTTGTGGGGCACTTTCAGGCATACAGATCCCCAGTATCAAGTATTTGTTAGAAGACGGGGTCATGAGCTTTGAACCTTGCCAGAGATGGAGCATAGTATCTCCTATTCCCTCTGCTTTTCCTTGTTTTTTAGAATACTGCCTTAGTTAACTGGACTTTCATAACTGACTGCATAACTCATCCCTCAAAAAATTTAGGCAAAATGTATTTCTTTTCAAGGACATGAAATGTTGAAGGTAGAAAGAAAAAAGGTTTTCTCCCCCTTAAACTTGATTATGCTTGTTAATGATGTTTCTCTTTCTTTGTTATTAGAAAGCAGATGACGAGGTGGAAATAATATTGTTGGGTAATAAGTGTGATAAGGAGACAGAACGTGTAATCCCAAAACAAAAAGGGGAAAAGGTATGCATTGATCACTAGTGCTTTCTTCTAACGCTTTGAAGTTTTTAGCATTTGGCTATGAACTGTGACATTAAAAACTGTAATATGTTCCTGAATTCCAAATATTCTGTTATGAATTGCTTCAGAAGAATAGTTTTTTAATATGTGACCAGAATAGAGCAAATAGTTTAGTAGTTGCTCTCTTTAGAACACTGATTTTTGTATTAAATTTTAAAACATACTTACTGTAGTATCTAGCATGACACTTGAAAATTCATTATTTTCAGAGCCAGACTTTTAAAAATATTTAGAGTCTTCATGTGCACTGTATTACTTTTCAAGAGAGAGACTGAAATATGTTCCACAATTTTCTGATACCTGATGTACCGCTAGTCTTCTGCATCAGTATCTTTCATTTCTTTCATTTCGTTTCTTACATTGTTGTTTTCAGAAAATTACTTTTCATTGTCTTCCACTCAAGACCACAAGCAATACGAAGTCTGGAGGTGGACTTAGAGTATATAATATTCTTCTAAAATATCTTTAAAAAATATCCTTGGTAATATGGATTGACTTGCACTGGGCATGCTAACTTTTGTTTTTTATTCTTCTGTTTCTGAGATTCTTTATTGGTAGGCATTGTACAATCCCAATGAATTAGTTATTATTAGAAACTAAGCCATGTTTTGGGGTACTGTGAATCATTTAAAAATCCTAAAACTAAAATGTCTCTTTTAATTTCTCTTCGATTATGCAAAAAGTGGGGTGTAAATAAGGGGGTTTGGTCATTACCTTTTTGTTTTTTAGGGTTACATCAGCAGTGACATGACTACATTCATTTTGCATCTTTCTTGGAACGCACAGTGATTCTTTTTAGTTGCACCTATTAAAGGACTTTGTTTTGAGAGTAATTTCTGCCTGGGGTCCACAAGCAGCACTATGAAAAGCCTTAATATAAGATTTGATTACCTAGAGAACCTCCAGTTTCCCTACCTCCCAGTGCAGTATCTGTAGCTGACAGGGCAGCAACTTCAACCCATGTTCTAAGTCCCCATGTTACAACCCTTCTTTCCCCCTACCCATGATTTTTCTCAGGGTCCAGGCTACAGACAATTTTCTCAAACACTTAAGTTAATTTCTCTGTATCCTATGTTGCAGGGCAGAGTGGCACCTTATAGACTAATCAGTTAATCTATGAGGTACCACAGTGCCCTCCCTTCTGCCTTTCTTCAGACTAGCATGGCTAACTACCTCACTCTGTATCCTAGCTTGTTGACACTTTGCTTTGCTTGGCTAGCAAATGTGAAGAGGAAGAAGACTAGGTCTGAGTGAATAGGGTGAGATGTAGTTGTATGCAGAAGTGTAACAAGCAGCTTTTGTGGCCAAGGCAGCAGCGGTGGTGGTAGCTGCCAGTATTGTGCAGCCTCTAAATTGGTGCCCAGACTTGGTGCCCTGCTTGCCTACCCCTAGTTACATTACTGGGAAGAGTGCAAGCAGAAGTCTGGCCTTGATGTAGGGGACCCAAGGAGGGCAGTGCAGAGATCTGAAGAAGCAAAATATTGGGGAAAGAAGGTTTTTTTGTAGCTGTACTCAAGGTGGTCTGAGGTGTGTGAGAGTCAGGGAGGCCAGAAAACAGGCTGCTCAAGGGAAGAGATGTCCAAAGTAGGAAGCAGGGATTAGCTGGGAGGGAGCAAACAGGGATGGCAAACAAATAAGATTCATTGGCAGCTTCCTTTTATAAGGAAATGTGGGGAGGGAATAGGCAACATGGAGCTTGCAAACCTGGGTAGGAGGGAGGTCAGTAATAGGCAACATAGAGCTTGCAAACCTGGGTAGGAGGGAGGTCAGTGATAGAGGGAATCAAGGCAGCAGGAACTGACTGCAGTCTTGTTTTCTTGTGTTTCCTGTTCTGTTAGGGTGGTGGGAGAATGGAATCCCGTAGGGATGTACCCAGATGGTGCTCTAGGAGAGCAAGGCATTCAGATTGAAGTTTAGAATCTGTGTTCCTGCTTCTCCCATGACCTGCAGGTAATGGACAAGTCTTCTCTCTCTCTAGCAACTGGTTCAGTCTTGGCCTGATTGTGGGGCCATACATCTGATCAATTCCAGAATGTGAGGAAATGTTCTGTATGTCAGAACCCTATCAATTTTAATGAAAACCATGCAGAAGATTGTCTCTAGTGGGTTATGGAATAGAGAAAATTCCACACAATTTACTGATTCGTTTTGATGCACTGGCTGGGGGAGTAGTTAGCTGATTGCACGATTTCACAATGATTACACACTTAATTCATACAACACAATTTTATTTTAAAACTCTTTGCTACGTATATAACACTGCTTAGCTTTAAGAAACACCACAAACATTAAAAAACACAATTATTACATATATCAGAAACAATGCTCCGAATGCACTTCCTTCCCAAACAATGCTATAAGAATTAGTGTTACAAAAACAACTACAATTACAACTAAAAGTTAAATTTGAATCAATACTGTTATTTTTCATAATATACTTACAATCCTAGAATTCCGAGAAGCCAAATACCAAAATATGGTTTCATTCCTCAGTAGTACGATTTAATGGGTTGGCCTCAGTAGTACGGTTCAATGGGCTCGCCTCAGCAATACGATTCAATAGGCTGGCCTCAGCAATACGATTCAATGGGCTGGCCTCAGCAGTGATAGGACTAAGTCCCCTTCCTTCAGTCCCTTTCAGGTGCTCCGCGGCTTCAGCGTGAACTAAGAGATTCGTGTTCACGGAGAGGTTGGGTCAGGTGATCAGTCTGATCTGGGCTACACTTGCGATTCTTCCTTCGTTGTTCTACAAGTGAAGTCACCTCCAAATTGGGACAGTAAGTTACAGGTTTTTATTGAGCGAGCTGCCGTCATTGGGCTCCTCCTACTCAATTTATCAGACCTCCCAAATTTGGGCTCAGATCTTACTCAACAGAAATTACCTTTGTTGAGCATTTTTAAATTATTCTTGGGGAGACTTCCATATCACTGTAAATACCCTTTTCTTACCAATTTGGTTAAAAGGCCCTAGGCTTTGATCTCTCTGAATTCAGGATATTTGCTCTCTTTGTAAAAGACTTCTAAAGATTAAATTTAAATTAAGACTTTAACCGAAATCAGGACATTTTGCACGTAGTTCCAAAAACAATGACTTAGATAAGGAGATAAATCCTATCTTCTTCCTGAAACTGGCTAATGGGCAACCTTTACAAACATTCAAACTATTTCATTCAATATGACAAAGATAGGGCAAGGCGGCATCTTAGGAACATTACACAAGTTCGATACATAAGTCTAACCTGAATCAATTGAGTGTACCTTGCACGAGGTCCGTCTTAGGCTGCTTATGCCATTTTTAGACTGTTCTATTGTGATGAACTTCTGTACAGTTACAGATTTAGATTGATCTATGTTCACATAGACTGGTCTAAATTTAATGTTTGTATGTGCCTTTAGGGTTCCTGTACATGTGCAGGGCAGGCATTTTCAAAGGCACTGTAACTTTTGCACTTTACTTAAAGCACTTTAGATACAGGGCCTTAAAACTTAATAGATGTACCATGGCTTGGTGCAAGTTTCAAGCCTTGCTGTAGTTCTGTAGAGTAGAAGCTAGGGCAAGGGGAGGCAAAATATGGCCCACGGACTGGATCCGGTCCGCCAGGCCATTCTATCCTGCCCATGGAGCTCCTAAACAATTTAGTAAATTAATATTTATTTGCCCTGGTTCCCTGTCAAAGCTAGCTGGAGACAGGGGCAGTAGGACCCAGAGGGAGCCCTCAGCAGGCTTGCAGGCTTGAGCAGCCCAGCCCCACCCACCCCTAGCCAGTTCCCTGCTTTCCTGCCCCCGCCCTGCTCCAACACCATGTGGCTGTGGCTCCCAGCTGCATCTCTGGACCATGGAGCATGGGACCGCACTGGTAGGGGTATGTATGTTAACAGGCACAGGGGCAGAATATGTGCGTGTCTGCAGGCATGGGGCAGAGTATGTATGTGTGTGTTTGCAGGCACAGGGGCAGAGTGTGTGTGTGTGTGCAGGCACAGGGGCAGTGTGTGTGTGTGTTCATAGGGTGAGTCCCACATGAACACCCCTCCATACACATGCACCTACACCTCCCCTCGCACTGCCATACACAAACTCCAGCCACCCTCCCCCCATACCCACCCACACCCCACATACCCACACACCCACAGCCCCCACAAACCTATACCCACCCCCACAATATACAAGAATAAGACTTAATTTTAAGCTATTGTGCAGTCACCTCTGCGTACAATACACAAACACATGTAAATCAGGACAAAAATATTTTTTGAAATCAAATTAATGAATGTTGTAGATGATCACTTTTCAGAATATAATTTGGTATTCTTCTGGTTCTGAGATGGCAAACCCCCTTGCTGAAAGGAGTACTTCTGGGGGCAAGGGGAGGGACTTCTGGTGGCAAAGGTCAGGGGTTAGGGGGTGGGACTTCTGGTCACAAGATAGTGACCAGGGGGCAGGGCACTTGTCAAGAGGTGGGGCTACCCAGGTGGCCCTTGACAGCGTGCCAAAACTTGGTAAGCAGCCCTCCACCCAAAATAATTGCTTGCCCCTAAGCTAGGGGGTGCCAGACATTGGACAACGCAGCTTGAGGCCATGGGGAAACCCCAGTTAAATAAATGTGCGATAAGGCAAACTAGGTAGGTTGAGATGCACTACTACGGTTCACCTTACATTTAAAACTTATACAACAAGGTTTAATTAAGGCGACGTCTACCATTTAAAAAATGTTTTAAAGTCACCCACGTGTATTAAGTGATGGCTTTAGAACACTTTAAATGGTGAAAATCATCATAGAATCATAGAAAGAAGGACCAGAAGAGACCTATAAGATCCTCAAGTTCGGTCCCCTGCCATGGACAGGAGGTAATTGGGCTGAAACGAGCTCAGTGATGTATTTGTCCAGCCTCCTCTTAAAGACCGCCAGAGATGGTGACTGTACCACCTCTGTTGGAAGTGTGTT